CGACTGTCTCGTTTATGAATCTGCTGTTAATATATGTGGAAGTTGTACGTTCTCCCAGAGAATATTATTTGTGCTCGCCGTCTTCTACAAAAATGCAATCAAAACAGCAGTTTGTTCGAAGACGAAGCTTTGGCCGAAATTACGATTGCAAGACAGTATACGCCATTGACCACCAAAACGGTGTACGTCGTGCCATGATAAACGGGCTTCAGTCTGACTCAGAATGGATTCACCCTGAATGCGGCACATGAATTAGCTAGGCCATTAGAATCGGCCCACAAACAAACTCAGACGTGCTCTCATAACCAACCGATATCGCTTTCTGCGGCTGCAACGCCTTTACAGATATCTACGGTTAGTCCGTCACACTCAATCTCCCCTAATTTTGTACCTTATCTCTCGTGAATCAGTTCTCAGATATGTTGTTTTTGCAGTCGTTCCAGGCATCCAAGTGTCTCGCGAGGGAAATGATATGTAAATCAGGTAGCAAAACAGGTTCTGAGGCTAAGTGCAACTACCACGTCATATATTCAACGATTCATCGCTTCTGGATCACTAGACACAAGAAGGGTGAAATGTGAAGGTGCTCAGTTTGTCCTTGACGTCTTGAGATGCACAGTCACGCTTGGGTCTTGCATGCGTGTTTTGGAGACAGCATACATCAATTTTGAGGGATTACAAGGTCTCGGCTGTGAGACTTGGCCTATTCAAGCAACGGAACTGAGACGTCTTCAGGTGTTCGACAATCGTTGTCTCAGAACCATAGCTCGTATGTGTTGGTGTCGGCGAATCCGTAAGGAGGCGGTTAGAAAGCGCGTTTTCGGCTGCGCAACTGGTACTTCTATTGAAGAATGTGTCCAGCACCAGAAGCTGTGTTGGGACATGTTTTGCGTATGCCGAACCATCGTTTGCCGAAGAGAGTGCTGTTTTCCATTCCCAACTCAGAGTGGCGTAAACAGAGAGGTGGCCAACCATTGACTTGGCAGAGGAGTATGAAGGAGATCACGAAACGCTTGGGTGCTGTCGGTGCTACTCGCCTTCCAGAATTGGGACCACGTGATCCTCACTGTGTTTGGTTGGAGACACTACAATATATGGCTGCCAACCGATGTCAGTGGCGTTCTTGTTGTCAGTTTCTATCCAGATTGCCTGAGTGAATGTCTGGAGGTGTAGGCACCTCGGAATGATAGTGGTAAGCTAGCATTAAGTCCCTTCCCTGTCCACCTTTACTCTTTTCTTTCCAATAAGGTTTTCAAATAAATCATGGTTGTACGGTGGTGAAGCATCGGTGTTGAACACTCATGTCATGCTGTCGACGATGATGACAAGGTCTCGGCGAGCATTACCTGCTCACCAATTTGTTAAACAGTGAGGACGTTGGAAAATCTCCTGGATTTAGCAAGGCCTTATTTAATAGACAGTGGGGTGCGTGAAGCACACCGGTCAGGTAAATGACAGTTTACTTATCGTAAAGGGGGTTCGACGGCGGCACGTACCGTACGTTTAGGAAACCACCCTCCGCTACCCTAATCAAATCTACCCAACCATTCGACCGAATTACGGTAGACTTTAAAGGACCTTGGCCTTCTGTTACTCGGAACTTCTATCTTCTTACTATCGTTGATGAGTTTTCCCCTTTTCCGTTCACCTTTCCCCTTGCAGACACGTGCGTCCACAGTTATCAAATGTTTATATAAATTGGACTCTGGTATGCATATATATGTACATTTATGTCGTGGTTCCTTATTCCACATCCGTACTTGACGGAGGAGTTTTTACCGGAAAAACAACTGCTTGGCTGGATCGTTTTTGTTCCGTTCGGTTATTTAGCATAACCTGTCACCTTTTCTCCTCAGAAAATAATAATCGTTCAGCTGCAACACCCTTTCGGTGTCCAGCTGTCATGCCACCCGAAGGCACGAGTGCTGAGTTACTGCCCAAGCCTAGAGAGGGGCAATCTAGATATAGGGGTTGGGTTCGAAACACCGATCTTGTGGTTAGTAAATTCGCTCCTTAACCACTGAGCCATCTCGAGCTCTTTAACTTCACTGACATGATGGAACACTCACTTCCAGCCTCCAATTCCTGTGGGGTCAAAATTATCCCAGATCATTCGCTCACATATATCCAGTACGCAGACTACGTATCCCTTCTTGGGTCTGATGCCGTCGTGATGTTAACAATACGGAAGAATCTAAATAATTCTGCCTCAGTTTGGTGTGCGTTTCACACCTGAAAAGTGAAGAATGCTGCTGCAAGTCTGGGTGGACGTAGTAGCGAAGTATGAAAGACGCTACCAGCATACTCAGTCGCGTTGACGGGGCACATCAATCATTAGAGACACTGTCGGGCAACCCTGTCACATCCTCACTGGCGCTCACGTATCCAAATCGTTGTCCTCAACGCACAACTTCCCTTCAAGTCTCATCAATGAAAAGTTCACTTAGGTCCCTGTTTTTACGCATCAATTATGTCAGCTACCGCCTCCCATGCGCACCTATCTACTCCATCTCCCCAAATCATCTGTGGACAAGACTGTGGCAGCTATAACCACTGTACAGTGGGTACGCTGTTTTTACGATTAATGGTGATGACGATTTAACTGGTTAATTATGTATAAGGTATTAGAGCAAGTGGTTCTATTTTATTGACCGCTTCGGTCCAATGATATTGAAGATGGTTGTGTTGAACGAATAACCGGGTTGAGGAATGTCTTCAAGACTCGTCGTAGGTATCATCAGTTCATCGTAGTGATATTCTTATATTTTCGTGGTGTATTCGGTCTCTTCAAAGGTGCTTAATGAAGGACTATACGGCCTTACACTTAGTAACCTTCAAAGGCGTACACTGTGAACACCGGTGGCATGTAGGCAGCTATACACATGCATGTAGGCAAATGTACTGAAATAAGCCATGGGTGCCTAACATCGCCACTGAAGTACAACTTTTTGACTGATGAAGCCCTACTAACTTTAGTGAGGTAACATATTGCGTCAAATGGATTACCTGAATGGTGTCGCGATCCAGGGCCAACACCTTATCCCACAAAAGTGTGGTGCTTAAGCGCCAGGATTAACCAGAGGCTGGCACTTTTGAACGTTCTTACGTTGTTCAGATGGACGGAGGCTATGATATTTCCAATAAGGGACTTCGTATTACACCGTAGTGTTTCCAGCAGGCTCTGCATCCGGATTTAGAATGGGGGTCACGGTCGAGTTACTCTGCGTAGTTGTAGAAGCCAGAATCAGTCAGTAAGTCCGTGGGTACGCAAAATACTCCTTAGGCTGACAAAATAAAGTTGCTTTCACGCCTTTGGCGGTTATAACTGCCTTTTATCGGACGGATTTGGAATAATTTATTGGTGGTCGACCCATAGAAACGATTTGTTCATGTTATTTTGGCTGTTTTTTTTCGAAGGGGACGCAGCGATACTGCCCGTGCAGGTCATCATCATAATCGTCATCGGTAGCATGATATCAGTAATCGACACAGATGCTTCGCTGCCGTACAATCATGATTTAATCGAAAGCCTTATATTGAAGAAAAGAATAAAGGTGGACGGAAAAGAGACTTAGTGCTGGCTGATTACAATCATTCCGAGGTGCCTACACCTCCAAACACTCATTCAGGCAATCTGGATAGAAACTGACAACAAGATCGCCACTGACATCAGTTGGCAGCCATATCTTGTAGTGTCTCCAACCAAACACAGTGAGGATCACGTGGTCCCCATCCTTCATCATCATCATCATCATCATCATCATCATCATCATCATCGACAGCATGACGTCAGTGTTCAACACTGATGCTTCATTGCCCATCCTGGAAGGCGAGTAGCACCGACAGTACCCAAACGTTTCGTGGTTTCTTACATACCCATCTGCCAGGTCAAGGGTTGGCCATGTCTCTGCTTCCGCATGCAGGTGGTTTTATTCGTTCCATTCAGGAATGGAATGTGATCAGCAATTTTTGGGATGGGCGTTAGGCTAACACTTCAGGTAATTTTGTGATACGATTGCAAACAAGTGAACGGATTACTGGTGACGAGTCAGGGACGGGCACCCTTCCTTCAACTTCGTATTGTGCGATCGGCCACAACTGAAACTTTGCACGGCATAAAATGTTTTTTGAAGACAGTCATTAGTCTAATCGTGGAACCTTGTAACTCAGTGACAGACCGTCACAAACCAAAATATACTGGGAATCTGGAATAGTAAACCACTATCTTCTATGCTATTGGACGCTGTTTGGCCACTAAAAACCGGTTGTGACATCGAGTCCACTACTGACCTGCTGGCGTGTGGCATCGTGTTGTTTATAAACAAATCCCTTATCAGAACCTGATATTGCTTAGGTAATTTACGGTCTGAGTCCATGCTCGAAAGTATGTGTACGTGTCTTGACTACAATGAACCCTCAACAGCTCGAAATTTGACGTGAGCCCAATCCATGAAGCGTGTATTTAGACTTCACCACTGGCTTTCCTGTCACCTTCGTCCAGGTTTGAGCAAACTGAGTGTCTTATCTCGTGTTTCCTAGTGGATGCTTGGCGGTTTTGCGTAGAAAGTTCTTGACAACGTAGAAGTCAGTTAGGTTTTTGACCCCTGCAGCGAACCTTCTCAAGCAGTAGGCAGTTACGTTCAATACCCGCTGTAGATAAGCTAGATGTAGTTCTAATGGGTTGTCCGTAGCGTCACATCGTGTTGAAATGCCAATAAAAGCATTTTGTGACCCCAAAGAAGTAATAGTGAGAGGTGCACCAATGGTGATTTACACTGGGACTGAAAAGATTGTGTTGCGGAGCTGAATTTACTGACTGACTGTGACCCTCGAGCAACAGATACGTACCTAACCTCATCATTCCGCTTTTGTGCGTCTCTTTTTGAGGACAGCAATAGTACTAGGGCTTTTGTGTTGTAAGTTGACGCTCTGTTTCCGTTGTACTTGTCCGTTATCTAGTATTAATCGCTGCTTTTACCTCTACGTTGTTCCTGTTTCAGATGGCCGGTGATCAGGTGTGTTATACACTGATTGGTTTGTCTCCAGACGCCAAAACCTACTCAGAACAACAACTGAAGGATGACCTTCAGCACAACAGCGTTGATATTAAACGAGAGGCTCTAAAAGAAGTCATTCGGCTGATTGTTAATGGCGAAAAGTTTCCAAACATACTGATGACAGTGATTCGTTTTGTGATGCCTTCGCAGGATCATATGATAAAAAAACTACTGTTGTTGTTCTGGGAAGTCGTACCCAAATACGGCCCGGATGGAAAATTGTTGCATGAAATGATTTTGGTATGCGATGCCTATCGCAAGGACTTGCAGCATCCAAACGAGTTCATTAGGGGTTCTACTCTGCGATTTCTGTGCAAACTTAAGGAACCAGAATTACTGGAACCATTGATGCCAGCTATTCAGCAATGCTTAGAACACAGACATGCTTATGTTCGCCGAAATGCCGTGCTAGCCATTTTCACCATCTACAAAAATTTTGAGCACTTGATTCCCGATGCTCCCGAGAAGATGCTTCGCTTCCTAGAGCAAGAGCAAGATGCATCGTGCAAGCGAAATGCATTCATGATGTTGCTGCACGTTAGCCAAGCCAGCGCACTAGACTACTTGGTCGAGCGTTTGGATCAGATTCAAAACTTTGGTGACATCATGCAGCTTATCGTTGTGGAACTTATCTACAAGGTGCGGTTTTTATCATTTCATTTCATTGCTTCTCTAGGTCTGTTTGGCCAAGCCTGCCGAACGACTACGTTTTATCCGATGTATCTATAGCCTTCTCCAATCCAACAGTCCGGCTGTACGCTATGAAGCAGCGGGTACGCTAATCACACTGAGTTCTGCACCTTCCGCACTCAAGGCAGCAGCCAGCTGCTATGTGAATTTAATCCTGAAGGAAAGTGACAACAACGTAAAGCTCATCGTACTTTCTCGACTTATGGATCTTCGCCAATATCATGAACGCATACTTCAAGGTTTGGTGATGGATATTGTACAAATATTAGGTAAGTTCTGAGTTTGCTTCCTACTTGACTTTGTCTTTTAGCGGCATCTGATATGGAGATTCGCCAGAAAACATTGGATTTCACCATGGATCTGGTGACTTCGCGCACTGCTGACGAACTGATCAAACTGTATCGAAAAGAGCTTCTCAAAGCGTGCAGTAGTGGTGGGGGTGGCAGAGCTGTTACTTCCGTCCCTTCAACAGTTGGTTCTGGGGGAGATGGGGGCAACGAAAAGTCAGGCACTTTGTCGTCAGATAGTTCAGAGGAGGCAAAGTATCGGTATGCTCTTGTCCATACTATCTACGACATCTCTGTGCGCTTTCCGGAGACACTGAGCACCATTATTCCAACCGTCTGTGATGTAAGTTGCCATCATTAGCAACGAGTAATGTATATGTCTTCGTGTTATTATAAATTGTGATCCTGATGTTAGTGCCGGTTTCATAATGACAGGCCTGTAAGTTGCCATATAGAGTTTCACTTTTACTTGCCAATGTTCCCATTAAGTTGCTTCACTACCGCACGGGTTGCATGACAATCCCACCAAATGGAGGTATGAGGCTATCCCCGCAAACTTGGAAGCTGCACTTCTGCAGAAATACTGGGTCTTATAGTGTAGCGCTTTATGTACCTCCATGGCTCACAGTTATGCTGTCTCTTTCTTTAACAGCCACAGTGTCCTGTACTAGGTTGGTCAATGGATAGAGATCTGACGGACGCACCCTCCTGGTCATACAGATTAGGAACTGGTGGCAATTTATTCCTTAAAAAACGTATGCTACTGTGGTGGTATACATGCACTCACCCACTGCCATGTGGTCGGGTTTTTGGACAAACGGCTTTGGTTGAGGGCCATAGTAGCCCTCTTGTGTAGGTGTGGGTGCCATGACAGTGTCCAAGCCTGCGTACAACCATGAGCTTCACAACCAAAACTAACCTCATGTCAGATGGGTCGTCGCGGGGTCGCCTTACTTGCCGCATACAACAGGGTGGTTAAACAAAAGTAGACTACTGCTGATGTTTACCTTCTCACACTTCCACTTATTCCTTCTCCTCTATTCAACTCTACTTCATTGTGTGTATTGGTGAACAGCTCGTGGCACTAAGACTGACTGCTTTATTTGCTTTGCAGCTCCCATAGCGACAACTCCATCCCAAACAGCTCGAAATTACCTTTATATCTAGATTGTCAGATTAAGTGTTGAAGTTATAGGCAACTTGGATGTTTGTGATTTGCTAACTCTAGCGCCCTCCTTTCTTTCCATTGTAATGTTTTATTGGAATAAACTGACATGGTTATATGGTAGTGAATCATTAGTGCTCTGCTCTGCCGTTGCTACCAATGATGCTGGTGGTTTGTTTGTCAAGGTCTGTGAAAGAATTCCATGAAGCAGCGATCTTTCGCCCCCCCCCGCAGTGTTATAACTTGCTGGACGGTAGTGCAACTCTGTGTCGGTCCCTTGGCTTCCTGCTCCGCCCACTATGGTATAGCAAAAGGCACGGTAGCTCTACACAGCCCTTTATGGAGACAAAGGAAAATAATCACAACTGTATTTATAGGGTAGTCACAGAGTGTTCCACAAGGTCGTGCCAGAATGTCCTTGAGGGGGCGAGAAGCGTCGAGTCAAAGGTGCTTGACTCGGATTGGCTAGCATTCTGGCCAATCAGGGCATGCCTTCGTCTGGCCCGTGTCCTGCACGTGACACATCCGTCCAAATGATGTGATGTTCGGTTCTTAGGGACGGCTGGCCCCCGAACACCCAGAGACAGTTTCTATGGCGCTGTAGACGCTCTTTTACAAGGTGATGAGAACTCACATCGTTCCTGTCGTTCGTGACCCTTTGATTAGATATGAGATGCGCGGACAAGTGATAGCGCCTACTGTGCTTATCGTAGACTATCCATTCGCAGTAACAGCTCCCTGAAAAGCAGAAGTTATGACCACGTGGTGTCCACCAGCGAATCAGCCCCAACTCTAAATAGATGACATTGTTATCAATTACCGGTGACGACGATCGATGATCGCCTGCCGCTTCTTCAGGAGTGTCTGTGTGGGCTTCTATCATGCGCTACCCGTTGATGCCTTTCGTTGCGCTTTCCAGATTCACAAAAAACATGGTCACCTCACGTAGCCATGGGCTCCGAAATCAAATATATCGGAACCTACTTTCCCAACATCTATCTGCCGATCCGATTTCGGATATTAACTATCATTTAAGCTAGATGACCAGAGCTGTACACAATGCAAGGAATTCGATCTGCTGACTTCTTCCAAGCTTTGCTGGAAGCCCGGTGACAGATTTCTTCTGGTCGTAACCACAACCCAGGGCGACGCATGATTCGACGCCAAATAAAACAGTGTCCTCAAAGACCGAGAAACTTAGCGGATCCTAAAGGTTGAAGAAATGGATAGGCCGTCGGAAGATAAAAACTACCAATTGTTTATCAAATCTTCTGAAACGAGGTCCCGGAAGCCTTTTGTCGGTGAAAGCAGACGTTCACCATAGCTCTCTGGTATCCAACAAAAGCGAACATTCGGATTGTTGGCATGTCACGTCGAACAACAACTTAGATAGTCACATGCTACCTCCAACCTAGGCTGCTACCGGATACATTGGTAGACTGTGAATATGGCGCCCCTTCAGCCTAATAAGTGTCCGAATGTTTCTCTACTTAGGCGTCATCATGCTTTTGGTGCTGATGGCCTTGTACTTACTCCGTTCAAGGCAGGCAGTGAGTTCTTTAGCCAGTGACTGTCTTACCTAATTGCTTTTATCTGGGATACAGGCCGTCCCAGACAACTGGACTGGATCCTTATATTGCCCGTCCTCGAAAAGTGAACTCATAGTGAGTATGGTTATCGCAGGTGATTCCAGTCGTAACATGCCGTCTGGCGTCACTGATTGTTTTTACTTCTGGTGGTACGCTCTAGAGCTCGAGATAGCTCAGTGGTTATGGCGCGAACTTATTCACTGGAAGGCCCGTGGTTGGAATCCAACCTCAGCATCTCGACAGCTTCTACCTAGGCTTGGGCAGCCTGACAGTATCTTAGCCCTTCTGCTTCTTTCGGGTAGCTTGTTAGCTAGGCACCGGAAAGGTGTCACACTGAACAACTACTATTTATCATTATTACGGTGAGACCTTCAACCGAGAGCATCAAGCGAGATTTCTGTTAGGCAGAGGCCACATCCTCACTCTTCGTTAGGTGTTACAGTAAGGTTGTGTGTGCTCGTATCGCATTTTTACACTTTGATTCTTTCGATTCTGTCGGTCACTCACTTTTTGGCGCGTGTGTGTATGTGGGTTTCTCCACAAAAAGCCCTGCCGGTAAGGATGTTTGCTGTCTCCAGTTTTGCTCAACTTCCTACTCAATGACAATGGGGAGAACCGTAAAGGGTCTTCAAATCCCAGGCGTTACTGGGGAGAGCCTTGTCGATCTAGGGTACGTGGACGATGTTATCCTTATATTTGAGTAAGAACGTAAATCGCAAGCACTGTTGAATAAGTCGATCTCCACCGTACCACCTTTCGGCATGCCTACTGCACCTAAAAAGTGCGAAGCCATGCTTTGGAACTCGCAGTCTCCAAACATGTGCCTTGGAATTCAAAGAGAAACATTGGACGTTTTAGATCATTTTGCCTACCTAGGTGGGCGTGTTAGCTCTGATAGAATTGTGTCCGGTCAAGTGAGAGCTCGGAGCAATGTTGCCATTTCGCTTTACTTACGGCATCGAAAAGGCATATCACTCAATCTCAAAGGTCGCGTGTATCAGGCCACTGGGCTCTGCAGCTAGGCGATCTGAGGTGCGGATAGGTGTTGATGGGTAGGTGTTTTATTCTAATTCTAACACAATGAGCGAATTCTTTTTGTCCTCCCCCTCAATTCCTTCTAACTTTACGCTTTGTGAATAAGGCCAACTACGTCGCAGTGGAAAGCTTTTTGGTGTTTCGGCCCCATACCGCTGTAGCTAGTGAGCAACAGTTGTTCTCCTGAGTGGTAGTCAATACCCGAGCCAGTGATGTCAATTGATAACGACAACTGATATGTACGCTTGAAATTTACTTATAAGAGTCATGGTAGGTGTAGTCAACAGCCGATGTTGCAGTGCAGGTGTTTCATACCCTTCTCTACTTTACTTCTATCCCACCACTACTTACCACGCCAGCGATTTCTTTGCCCTCAACTATGATTGCACGCTCGGAGTTTCCTTAACAAAACGCCTGGCAGTGATAATTGTCTGACAAATGTCGTCTGAATACGGCCGCTGTGCCCATGATAGTCCGGCATATACCGTTTCCCGATTGTGGTAAAGCGACGTTGTGCAGCAATTTGGGTACGGACGGCGAGTCCATTTGACTGGAAAACAGAGGTCTGGGGTTGTGTTAACTTGGGCAAATGGCCAGTGCGAATGGACTGTCTGTCAGCCGAACGAACTGGGATTACTAGGATGCGCCAATGACAAATTGCGCATTCTGTTTCGCTACGAAATGGGCACTTTCTTGTGTTTGCCTAGAGGTGGTTTTTATACTTTTTACATAACACTTCAATGGATCGATTCGCGTAACTCATGAGTTAAACGGCACCCGAGCTATCAATATTTCAACACATGGCTGCTTATATGCGAACACATCGATGCTTTGCGGACACTTATGGTCTTATCCTCAGTGCTGTCGTGATTGTTCTTTTCCCAGTGGTCAACATGTCAATTTCCTATCCCCTACTCTTGTTAAATAAGCTAACATGACATCAAGTCGAGGTGCAAGCGAATGTCCTCACACGGTGGATAGTAAATTAGAAAAAAGCATCACTTCTGCGGCACCCTGGCATGCTCTTATTGAATGCAGATCGCGTATACATTACTGGGGACTGTGTTGTACAATTTTTACTGTTGTGCAATTTCTACTGACCGCTTATTACCGACACATGTCATTCTGTTTCCTCAAATCCCCTCACTATTCGTGCTGTGAATTTCTAAACGGTTTTTGTACGGTGTTATGCAAAACTTGACCAGTTCAAATTTCGGGAGAGAGATGGCTCGGTGGTTAGAGCTTGAATTTACGGACCGTAAGGTCCGTGGTTCGAACCTGGTATCCACATCTCGACTTCTGCTGTCTAGATTTGGGCAACCTGGCAGTATCCCAGCCCTCGTGCTTCCTTCGGGTGGCATGGCACCTAGGCACCGAAAGGCTGTTACAGCTGAACGATTATGATTTTTACATATTTTGATAGCTTTTAATTCAATAAATGCGCCGTGCGAGTGTTGAATAGGTCTCCAAATTCCGGTTTCAGTTTTAGCTCGTCGTATTGTGATGCTTCTTGTCGACCATTTTGAACTATATTACTTTGAGATCCGATCTTAAAGCCTGTTTTTTAAACGTGAGGAGTCTGGTATATATATATATGTANCGTAATTTTGATCATTTCGTAACAGGTATTAACCTACGAAGAATTGGCTGACTCAAAAGCTGCTTCTGAAGCTTGCCGTTTTATTCGCGAAGTACTTTATCGGTATCCGCAGAAAAGGCCTGAGATTTTGGAGAAGTTGATGCAAATATTTCCGACTGTTTGTGGGCAGGAAACACTGCGTCACCTGGTTTGGATATTTGGCGAGTTTTGTACCACCTTCGAGGAGATCAACACTTGCATCACTCTGTTCCGCCAGGTTAGATAAGTTGTCACTGGTCCGTCTGTTTGTTTAATCCGCTCTCTTTTTCATTTCGCTTTCTAAGTACATCAAAACCCTCTCCAAACGGTCCCTCTAGGATAGCCACTCTTTTATAATGAGAGGTTTTGATCGTCACCGTTGTGACCTCATTGGATGAGGTCTCACTTTTCTGGTTCTGGCGATTGGACAGAATTCCCCTCCTCACATCACAAACTACATTCTTCTACAAGTTGTAGTAAGCATGAATTTTATACTGAAATCCATTTCTCACTCAAGAAAAGTGACCGGTCCACGAAATCTTGCACAGCATTGACCTCTCTAGGTTGACCATTCACGACGCGTCCCGTCGTTATTGTGTATCATCCAAACAGAGTTTGCAATGTGGTAATTTTCGTTACAGAGACATCAGCGTGTTTAAAAGTAGCGTTTGGCTGGTCAACTGGAATGATGACAAGAATGAATATTGCCTGTTCGAGATGTAGCAATCATTTCCACGGTAGCTTATGTTTGGCTGGAGGCGCTGCAAGAAGCGATCGCACATCAGTGTAACCTTGGTCTTCCTTCCAGTTTTTACCCCTATGGTTGACTGAGTGGTTGAGGGGGGGGAGGCACCCCGGGTTGCTGTTACAAAGCCAGCTCTCGGTTTTTGTCTGTCTCCGGCAGTAAGTTATTGCATTCGTGAAGTGTACCACGCGGATGTTGCCGTCAGTGATGTCTACGTTATATTGTGCCATTTTGTCATCACTGGTTTTCGTCGGACAGGCTGTTAGTGTGGTTACATTGCTTGAATTACCGTTACTTGTTTCAGTAGTGTCTTCCAACAGACGACCCTTGACCTACAGTGAACCAAAAGCGATCTAACTGGGCCTGAAAACGCGTACTGTGGACTACCATAAGCACTTAAACTTCCAGAACGTAACATGGGATGTCTTTTAAGAAGAATTTATTCCCAAAATGAGTCCTATCCACGAAGATTGTACTTTTTGATCACAGCATCACGTTTTTTCGACAACTGCGCAGTCAAAACTCTAGGGACCTACCGGTGCGAAGCGGAGGCATATTGGACTGATTCAAACGCACTGCTATAAGGAATGACAGGTCGCTGATAGGACAAATGCTTGAACTTAGCTTAAACTTGTACTTTTGATCCTTTCTCAAAAAGCCTGCTGCTCACCTCCATGCTTCGTGTCATCAGCTGGTTGGATATCAAAGCTTGTTATGTTGCTTCAAACAGTTGAACGTATCACCCTTAATACAACTTCCGTGGGTCATCATGGGTTATTGAACACCGCTGATGTCGTTCAGCTGGCCTGATAAGCACAATTTCGATCTCCGGAATAGTAGATTGGATAAACTCAGTCGGTTGATGTTAGGTGGTTGGCTAATTGGAAGATAGATTGCCAAATTTAATATTGACTTGTCTGCCTGACATTTCATTTCGGGATTTGTTGGGATTCTGACAAATAGTACTGTTTCATCAAGCAATCAATTAACTGATCTTTGCTGTTCCGTACACGGTTAAACTTTGAATCCGAACGGACCACATGTAAGTTTATTTGATCTATGCCTGTGCTGTGGGTATCCAGACATTGTTTCGATGAGTGTGCCTCTCTTGGTAGATGGTTCTGGCACTATCGAACTGCATACCTGTTTTGTAATATTAGCCATCTTTATGGTTAACTAAAGGCACTCAACCCAACTTTATTCCACTCACAGTAGTTTTGTGCTGCTTTTCTCTCACAGGTTATCGGTGACTTGCCTCTAGTTGACGAGGAACTACGCCGACAGGCACAAGAAAATGGCTCGGAAGTGGAGACTTCTGCGCTACTTTCTACTGATGCTACTGTTGGGCTTACTCCTGCACAGCGTGTCACTGCTGACGGTACATACGTAACTCAGACAGCACTGACTACAGGTAAATCCATCTGCCTTCCGTTGTTTTTTTCCACTGCAGGTTTCCTGGCATTCCTTCCATGCATTGGGCATGCTAAGAGATTTATCTATCCAAACAATGCGTTTTTTCGCAGACACCTATTTAGCTTCCTTTGATCATGTGGTCTACATTTCACCACTCACGTGGTTGACTGTTATTCGAGATTGTGAGCTCAAGGCAGTACAGAGGGTGCGAGTTATCACCTAGATGTTTCACGGTTTAATTCGGAAGACCAAAATTTTCTGCTACCGCTCCCTTTAGGCACGTGATTTCCGCGCCCGGGCTCATCTGATCGCTCTTATCTGCGCTTATGTAATCCGGCAGTGTCATATCCCATCTACATGCTAAAAATCGTACACTTGGGCAAGTTCATTACTTTTTATACATAGCAACCGTCAGCTCAGCTCACAAATCGTGCACTGAAATGCAGTGATTCCATCTGCTGCACCATTAATAAGTGGAATAAGCCACGCGCTTGAGGCGATGACCCAATCTGCGCATTCACGACAAACTGGAATGTTTTTCCGGTATAATGAATCATTGATCATCACTAGCTTGCGATACCCCGTGGGGTCCATCCACTGTATTATGATTTTTCAGTTTCCGGACCCAAATAACGGCAGGTTACCACGTCCAGTAAACCATGATCTTCCAATTGATAGATGAACAAAATTTTCTCTGGTTTGTAAGATCTCGTACCATATGTATGCACGGTGGATTACTGTCGCCGCACCGGCATTCGCTAACTATTGTGCGGATCTGGCCTCATCTAGAAGATCAGTCTGTCTCTTAAGCTAACCCCTTCTAACTATCCCATAATTGGCTTCTTTCTGTGAAATCCGTTTGTACCTACCGGATGCTCCTGCTGCTCTTGAGTTTGGTATATCCTTGTCACACTTCATCCTCTCAGGTTAGCTTCTTCTTTAGGGACCTTCAGTCCTGCGCTTCCATTACCTTGCTATGTTACACAATCCACTGAAGGTCCTCCTGCTTAGTAGACCAAATTCCATCCATTTCTTGTACTGAGTTATGTCCTCATGCTTTCGCTCATTTATATGTCCATTTAGTCTCGAACAAACCCACTTCTGGTGCCAAGGCCGTCAAACGCCCCGTACTTCAATCGGCCCTATTCGAAGCATCCTACATGCCTGGTGTTGTTCTCTCGGTTTGCCTGGTGAAATTGTACTATCGCTATGTATCGGCTCTGTCCGAGCAGTTGAAAAAGGATGAGAAGAAGCTTGCAGCACGCGAGAACTCTTTCGCAGCAGAATGTATGCTGATCATTGCAAGCATGCTGCACCTCGCCAACAGTGGCCTGTTATCCCATCAAATTAATCCAGACCACTTAGACCGTATGTGGATATGTCTGAAGGTAGGTGATACTAATTGACTGCTTACGAAGGGCTTTCAGTCTGTGCGTCCATATTATGCGTTTTTGTCCACAGCCATCCAAGGTTTTCTTCAAACTAGAACAGCTAGATGACTGTTGCAGGTTTCTCTGACTTTCGCACATCATTCTGGAGAAGAGGGATGTTTCGAAATGGCACTACAAATTTGTTTCATTCAAGGCTTGTATTGCGCTTAATGTAGCCCAATCTCGTAAGGAAGAACGTAACGTAACTCCGAGCTGGAGAGTGGTTTTAATATAGGATTGGTTCCTACTCGTAAGTAGTGACAAATGTACTGATGGTTACAATCCTTACATCGTTCTCCTAAGTGGAAACATCGCAATGCCAGAGTGACGTGGAACGGTTCACCGAGACATTTCTTGTTCAGGTGAGGGTCTTTTGTACCTGTGACGGACATACCATCCTCAGGGATCCCGGGGCAACCGTTTCATCTCGCTTTCATTTTCAGATGGACTGCACACCATATAAAGTTCTGCAGAAACAATTCCATCCGAGTCACATGACAGGCGCTTGCTGATCTATGAATCTAGGTTAGTCGACACAGAAACGCGTCTGTTTTGAACAGGATCAGCCTACTTTGCAAACTATTTTAGGTAAAGTACCGTTCTACTCATAAGTAACCAGTGATGAACGAAACTTTCCTGACCTTTTGGGACTGTCGATTGTTATCGTCCAGCCCCCTCGTCTCTGTTTATTTTTTATGAAATTTTATATGTATAAACCATATACTGATGGTATTATATTTTAGAAGAATTTGGTTTCTCAAAGAGACTGGTCTTTATAGTGGTGCAAAGGTTTACGTACACGTAGGACACGCATCCAACATCTACAGAGTCTCTCCTACCGGATTGGTCGGTGGATTCGAGTCTGACAAACAGTCATCTGGAGCTACGGATTTAGGGTTGGAATATGTATCGTAGTTGTTCTTTGAGCTACTCGGGTATTCTCATGACGACCACCACCGCATTGCCTTGAGCCTTTTGACAGGGTCAACCTGTCTAGGTTAAACATCCTGGTAGTATCTCAGCCCCCACCAAACTGTGAACTTCACATATAAAAATACCCTCATACCACATCGGCCATCGCGTGGTGACATCATCCGGGTCGCCTTCTTGACTGCATTCAGTAGTGCGGCTAAACGAAAACAGATGACTTCTAACGCCTCTAGTCTTCCTCCATTCTTATCGCCTAACCTTCTTCCCGTCCTGCCTGCTATTCTTTCTTGCGTAGATCCTAGCTGTGAACACGTCGTTCAGACACCTAGAGAAGTGACATCGCACTCGACCGCTCGTATTTGTCACCTCACCACTTTTCAAGCCTCGTTGTGTTTTTATTAAAACCGTTACCATGCAAGGTCTTGAACAGATCAGTCAAGAAGCTGCTCTTGCACACGTCATAGAATGACACCCATTGCATCTCCAAAACGCCAATATAGGATCCAGATACGGTTGTTAAGTCCATCTAGGCGCTACTGACTTCTAATATTAGGTGATCCTTCGGCTGCTGCATCGGGTTGTGCCGCTATTGTCATAGGCCTCAGTTCGTGAGCTGAGACTTCGTTACTCCACTGGATACCTGCTAAATATCGACCTCATGCTGTTCGACTTTCCACTTCGACAGAAACTTGCGATGATCGAAATACTGAATGCTCTTTGTTTGCTGTGTTCACTTATGCACCAACGAGTCTTAGCTCCGTTTTTAAAGACACACATCGAGGAGTGACCACCCTACCGTCCACCACTAATAACTCAGACATAGTTATAATGGCAGATTTAAGTGCCTCACTTCATCAGAAACATGCCATGATTCTATGTTTAGTCTGACTGAAAAACTCTGATAATGGTGTAGTCTTTTGCAGTAGTGGGTTTAGAAGCGGTGAGCATCATTTTGCTATCTGGTCTGCAGGCTTGGAGTGAAGTTGACTACGTAACCATCAGCTACTAATGGCTCGGTTCATTCCCTAAACACCGATAACTCCGGAATACACGGCGTGATTCAGGTCACGTCCTTGTTTTGTGCAGATTTTCATTAGATTTCCTAGCAGTGGACTCGCCAGGGACTCCAGCTGAATTCCACTGATGTTCTCCTAATTCGACATGATACTCAGATGTGTTTACTTTAACGTTGATCTTATTCTTGACCGTTCGTTGTGTGGAAATAGGTCTTCATGCTAGATCCTTCCCCTCTCATTTCCTTTCCACTCTTTACTAAGGAACTCTTCCTTCATGGCTGTATGGAATTTGAGTTCTATTTTTCATTGTTGGTGTGTTGCAGTCAATGCTCCTGCTGCTGATGGATTTCTCACTACGAGTAGATAACTGTACACATCAGTTGCAAATGGGAGTTGTTTTCGGATCATCCTGGTTGTTGGTGCGCACGTACATGATTTGGATTTGACGTTAACTTGCGGTAAACAACATCCGAGCTGCTTGTCCATTCATGCGTGCATAAAACTAGTTCTCTTTTCAGCAACTTTTTGGTGACTATCACGCGTTTAGGAATGAACCGGTTTCACCCTTATCTTGCATAGTGGTAGCTTGAGCTGACACGGAATTGAGGTCAGCGCATACTTTGACCCAGTCGCTATTCCACTAAGGTACTTATGCAAACCGGAATGTCAAACTGTCAGTCGTTTTGTACACCGTCTATTGTTTGCACATGCTCAGACTGAGTCAACGGAAGCATGGGTTGAGAAACCTGACCTGGTGCGCAAGAATAGAATAGCTATTTCATGGCTTTTTGAATGGGCCCTGTTATAATCCGGCTACCACCACAAAAGACTTCTGGGAGTGTCACTCGTAATCGGAACAGTACACCATTCGAATCTGCCTTAACCGTCCAAAGTAATGTAAAGATCCACTTCCAGTTGGGGGAACAAAATATACATTATCTTATTTTTTTTTATCAACCAGACTTTGTCACAGTTACTGTGATCACTCCAAGCTTCTCAACACTTTCTTTGTCCATCCACTAGTTATGAGGTATGCATTGGTCAAGCTTCTGTTAACATTTTTCCTTGTCTGTTTTTCGTCTCTAGGTTCTGGCTGACCGACGCTCAGAGGTTCTAAAAGCGTTTGAGGAAAGCTCGCGTGCATGTATGTCTGATTTGTTAACCTACCAAGAGTCTGAGCGGAAAGCTGCTGCGAAATCACGAAATCGCAGTTTGGAACAGCGGCAGCAACTTGAGGCGGAGATGAACCGCGCAGACGCACCTATCAAGTTCTCACTTCTAGCCGGGCAATCTGATCTTGGCGATTCGGTTGATCGATTTGACCTCACACTGAGCCAGGCTCTTGGTGCTGCTGCGAGGGGTGGAGACGCTTATGCGACGTCGAAGTTGGGAAAAGTACGTTGCCTACATTTCCTCAACCCCATTTTAATGCTGCAATGTTGGAGGTGAAACTCAATGGCAAAGTTGTAGCGAAATTAGGTTACGTGCACCCGTGTATTTTAGCGCTGTCACGGTTATCTTTGTCAGCTGTGCTATGCCCTGCTGACTTGTCTCGCGTAGTTAAAATTTCCATTTATTACCACAACGTTGTTCTCTTTGTAGGTTAGACAACTTACTGGATTCTCTGACCCAGTTTATGCGGAGGCCTACGTACATGTGAATCAGTTCGATATTGTGTTAGACGTATTGATTGTAAACCAGACACGTGATACCCTACAGAACCTCACCTTGGAACTATCAACATTGGGTGACTTGCGTCTCGTGGAAAAGCCTTCTCCACTGACAGTGGCTCCACAAGATTTTGCCAACATCAAGGCGAACATCAAGGTAAGTGTTCGGCATCCAGAAGGTTCTGCATATGGGTTTAACTGATGCCTTTTAAACTCATCCGCCCACACTGGTGTATTTTTGTAGTTCAGCTGTCGCTACACTTCATAGTTTACAATGGACGTCTGCGGTTGTCCAAACATGGTTGTTTCAGGATGTCCATTTTTATCACAGCTGAGTGCACACGTCTGTTGTGGGTAATCTAAGGTTTATGAGAACAATATTTACCAGGAAACTCTGTATGATCTTCTTCTTAGTAAGGTTTTCAAAGAGCCGAACCTTTATGTTGAAGGAAATGTATATCTATCAAGACATTTATCTTTTTTGCTCTCTATTGGTGAAAACTTCACCAGCAACCTTGTGAGTAGTTTATTTCGTGAAAAATATACTGATATTTCGAATATCGTACCAACTGAAACGTTGGCGACCTATGTGCAGCACATTCAGTTGAAGAACTCCATACACGAGAGATTCATTTGAGTCTCCCGTGAAAACCAAATTGATTTGCGAATAAGTGTATTTGTCGTAATCCGTCCAATTTGGGTTCAAGGTTAACGGAAACTCGGGAATTCCGCCTAACTGATGAGCCTCAAGAAGGGCGAAACCGGTCGTGGGCTGTCGAAGAGTTTTCGGCAACCTTGTGAATAGTTTCCTTTGTGAAAAACTGCACCAGCTTTTACCGTCTTACTGCTCACGTCCAGCCTATGGTGGCCAGACCTTAGATCGTGTATCACCCTTTACCATCCACCGCCTGTCATTATTTTTTTATCTGTAAAGTTTGCTGCGTTATTTATAAATACCGTAATAGTACCATGCTTCTTCGGCCAAATGGCAATCTAGTTTTCATGTTGCGAAACGCTTGTCTCGGAGTTGAGAGCTGATGTTTGTTCGGCTAAGCCCTAGTGCCCGTGCGTCATCATTTGATTTTGATCCATATCTCTTTGCTACTTGAATTGGTGATCAGTAGTCAACAAATAAGCAGTAAACGTCACTCGTCCAACCTGAAATCCCATAGACACGATCCGGTTTGCGATCGTTCTGTGTTTCTTCATGATGGTAAATCGTCCACTCACATGTTTCGAAAAAATTCACTGTCGTTTCACTTGAACCATTTTACTACTCTCTTCCAGGTGTCTTCAACGGAAAATGGAATCATCTTTGGGAACATAGCCTATGATATTCGTGGGTCAGCTGGCGAGACCACTTGCATCGTTCTTAACGACATCCACATTGATATCATGGAGTACATTCTGCCGGCCACTTGTTCGCCCGGAGAGTTCCGCCAAATGTGGTCGGAATTTGAGTGGGAGAATAAGGTACGTTTGTCTTTTTTGCACCGGTGAGGTTGTTGACTCGTGAGCTGCCTGTATCCATACTTGAGTACTTAACTTTGCGCTGACTTCATCCTAGAGAAGGATGAGTCAGCTCGAAGAGTATCCCGGATTGTTGCTCCCCGTATAGCACGGTCCGAGCACAGCATTCTATTGTTCTATCGTCCCATTTTTTGAAATAGATTATCTGCAGTTCAATGTTTACCCTAACTGTAGATAGCCTAGTTTTCGATTGTCCTCCGGTGCGGAAGTATCACTGTGAGCAGGACAGTGACAACAGGCGGAGTTTGGAAAGTTGGGAATCTACTTTGTTGGGATAGTATCCCAAACGTTTTGGCCTACGTCGCTGGACCAGTTTGGAGGCGTAGAATACTATAATAGCTACCTCTGTCATCATCACTAGAAATCCTTTCATTCCGACGTACATCGACTACCCTCCTTGTGACTGCGATTTCGTAGCACTTCACTAGGCCGAAGTTTCCAGGAATATGACGGGTGAGAACGCTTGTAACTTCAGTCCCCGCATTTTATACGCCAGCACTCCCACTCTCGCGGTCGGATGTACAATTGACCAATCTTTTTATATCGTATGAATCGTCCTTGACGGAGAGCACCGACAAAGTGAGAACATAAACGGCTATGACGGATAATTTCTCTGGAGTACCTTTGAAGCGAGCCGTCTCAATCATGGACGATAGTTGCTCCCAAGGGCGCAGTGCATTGTGGGCGCGTTTGTAACATGAGCCACACTATGCAGGCCCGATTTGTCATTTGGGTCACTATGGTACAGCAAGTGGGACTTCCGTCCCTCGTACTTTGATGGGTTATGAAGGGAAACAAAGAGTCCGCATTTCTGAGAGGCATGCGATGTCAACTCGGTATTCAGAGGGCTTTCGTACACTGAGACTCTGTCTTCCCACATCAGTCTGAGTAGAGTAAGAACATTCCAGCAGCCTAAATGCAGTGAATTCTTGATTTTTAGGGAAGAGTTGGAATACCGTGCCTGTCGCCGCGACGAGTAAACCAGCTTCCGGTGCGTTCTTAAACGGTCATCCCGTATAAATAGAAGCCTTCCCGTTCACTGTCACATCCTTTAATTATTGTAACAATGTTATTCCCCCAGAATCAAGTAAAAGTCCATTTTCGACCGTTAGGTTACTGTACTGTGGAATGCGGTCTACCTAATTTGCGGACCTCGAGTGCTCAGATGGATCAGCGGGCAAATGCAGTGGTTTCCGAGATGTGTTATCGTCGATTTGTACTACTTGAACCTGATGCCGTTGTCCTGCACAACTGACAAGTAATTCAAAGCACAAAGACTTGTGTATATAGTGGCCTGGTCACTATCGCGCTTCATTTGATTTCCATTCCAAATTTCCTCGGCTGTCTATTCCGCACTTTTCTGTAGCACAATATCTCTTGGGCCTTCAAAATTCCCGTTTCTAGGTTACTGGCGTGAGTTTGACGGCAGTTATTCGTGGAGCGGTGTTCAGCACTATTTTCTACTTCACTGCTGCACTAGTGCACATTTGAAACCACATAAATGCTTTTTTAGCTATTGAGGTGCAATCTGTAGCCATAAGCTAACTGATATACGGGAACTTTTGTCCATAGTGACTCATACATCAGAACGCTTTTTCGGTTCACATGGGCTAGTTTAGAATGGTTTCCGGAACCATAGCACACTAGGGCCTTTCGTCGTCTGGATTCTGAAAATTCCAATCTATAATAAGAAACAGATTGGTTTGACGAACATGTTTTCGGCAAGGTCTTTCCAATTCGTACAATTTCAAAGGTTAAGAGAGTGGTATTTAACATATTTGAATGAGTGTGGTGTAAATGGACAGGGAATCGAGTGAGAGACGACATCGGCCACCTATCAAAGAACAATTAGTTCAGGTCACCAATAGGATGACTTGAGCTAGCCAGCGCGGTGGGGAGTGTGCTGTAGTTGTTTGTTCAGCACAAGAGGCATGTATGAGGGGAGGTGAGTTGGACCATGCTAAGTACAACACACGAACAAAGCGTTTTTGTCGACAAAGGACCGGGTCACGATGTCGTATGGCGATAGCTTCAGCCACTGCAATTGTGCGCTGCTGTACTGATCTGGGTTGATTAGCCGGCGCCTTGTAAACAACGCGGAAACTTTGGCTGGGTCATGTTGTGTTCAGTGTCAGCCAAATCTGGATTCTGTTACAGCATTTTTACCTGTGAGCAAAGAACCCATTAAAGCTCTTGACCGACCACTACCTATCATTCCAGCTCATATTCAGTTGAGCTTCTTGTTAACATGAATTTAATTTGCAAAAGAGTGTGTCAATCCGTTGGAGTTGTTCTCAATCAATTTAGTTAACCATCTAGTGTTCACTAATACTGTGGCTCACCCTTATTTGTTCTTCAGCATCTGTAAATTGGGTCTTTGTTTATATGTCCTGTCTCTTCTCCAACTAAAGTTCCTCTCGCTTGCTTTTGTCACAGGTTACTGTGAACACCCAAATAAACGATCTGTTTGCCTATTTGTCACACATTACTGCCCATACGAATCTGCGCTGCTTGACTCCGATGGAGGCCCTCCTTGGTGACTGTGATTATTTATGCGTGACCATGTATGCGCGCACCGTATTCGGCGAACATGTGCTGGCCAATCTGTGTCTGGAAAAGACCGAGCCAGATCAGCCGGTCACCGGACACGTACGAATCCGAGCGAAGACGCAGGGGATGGCTGTGACGATGGGAGAAAAGGTGAGTTTGTCTGTCCACCCGTCTTAACCTCTGTTGGTTTTCACCGTCATTTCCCCTTTTCTCTCCGTTTCGTCTTCCTACCTACTCTTCTTATTTACCCAACACTATGGAGATATGAACCTGTGTGCTTGAATGCACGATTCAACGCTGGAACTAATGACGACCGTCGTGACATTTCGACCAAAAGCGAAGTTTCGTTCGACTTTCGTGAAAAAATGTCATCGTTTCATCATTGTCAGCTGTAATAACCGCGTACTCGTACAATGGTTGTAGCTACCGCAGTTTCGTTCATCGATGATGGGGGGAGATAGGGTAGATAGCTGCACATTGGAGCTGATAAATTCGTGCGTACAGCACTGTCAGTGGACTGTCAATTGGGGGATTGGAAAAGGAGCTGTGCATTGAAGGTAATAGCTTGGATGCACAAACCCCATTAGGGGCGCGACTGGGCCATGCCTGACAATGTCTCTAGCCATTGATGTGGCCCGTCTCGGGGTCCCCATTCAGGAAGACGGCAGTGACCAGCGCAGCTGAGTTTACTGGTAATGGCTTTCACACTTTGCTGCCAAGTCACTGTTTGACCACCTCTGGCTCTCTTCCACCCTTCACGTGGTTGTGCGAAAAGAGCCCTTCGAGGTAGTCGGTCGACTGGCATACGCAGCACGTGGCCAAGCCAGCGCAACCTATGCAGTGTGATCAGTTCATCTATCGAGGGGAGTTATTTCTCCCGAATACCTTTCGACTTACTTCAGCATTACTGACTCGGTGTTCCCACCAGATTCGGGCAATGCTCCGAAGACATCAATGGTCAAACACTGAAAGTCTTTTGACGTCCTCGGCGCGCAGCGGCCAGGCTTCTGATCCATATAGTAATATGGAGCGTACCGGAGCATTGTAAACTCGACCGTTGACAGAGAAACTGATGTCACGCCTACGCCACAGGTGAAGTAGGTTCGCAAAAGCTGCTCTGACCTTTCCAATCCGGATGAAAATTTCCTCTTTCGTGAGACCACCGGGACTGATACAGCTGCCTAGGTAAACAAATTTGTCTGCTACCTCAATCGGTTCATCCGCAAGCACGAGGCTAGGGTTCGAGCCCACCCAATCTTGCAGTATCACTATACACTCTGCAGGTGTGAAGCGCATGCCGAACCGCGAGGCATGACATATTCGGTCTCTTCTTCGAAGAGCCTGGAGCATTTATGTGTCGACTGTTGTGAACTTTTTTTCTGAAATTTTTCAGCTTTTATGTTCTTTAATTCCATGACCGTAGATCATGAGTGCATAGGATCCTACCTCCAAGGCCACCGTCCACGCGTCGCTTGTCGACATACCTGTTTTTAACGTTTACTCTATACATCTTTAGAAGAAGAGAAAAGTGGAAAATACCGAAATGCCGTACGAATTTGCATTTACATCCTGGATCTTATCGACATATTTTCTGTCACCCTTTTCATTGTACAGGTGAGCACTTGTCAAAAAAATTGGCAGCACGTTGGTTCGAATGCGCCCGCCACGAGCAATGGACTAAATGACGAGGACGGTGGCAATAAAATTCGTGCTGACGATGAGGCGATTGGCACGTTTCGCACCCATTCCCCGGTATCTTTTGAAGCCGATCTCGAATAGGAAGTCAGAAGGTGCCAGGATGTGTTACGACGCTTAAGACTGTGCATACATGATTTCCGGAGTAAAACAGTGTCTCCCTGTTCAATTTGTTCTGGGGCTTCGTTCCCTGCAGTGTGTCGGCAGGATCCCTTATCTGCCTCTCTTTATTTTGTGGTTTGTCTTGGGTACCCTGGCGCGCCCCGTCCTAACCACCCTGACCCACCTCGTTTGTGATTGTTTGGTCACCAATCGTCTGCTACTACTACTACTTCTTTTTTATTAACTACTTACATGTTTGGATATCCGGTTCATCGGATCTATGAACTATGCTATTTGTGAGTGTTCCTTTCCTTCACTTGTTTGGGTTATCGCGGTGTGGTGTAATGGCGGTAATTCATGCTATGTGAAAACTTTGCTACTCCAGCGTAAGTCTTGAGACTGGCTGACGCGCCTATTTTTCAGTTGTGCTTGTCCGTCCGGTTTGTGAATCTGGGCGGTCAGGTCAAGAGAGTTGGTTAACCGATTGGTCAGTTTTGGTTCAGCACGAGCATTTCTTTGTGCTTACGACGTAAGGATACAGCTGGGGTCAAATGCCCGGCTACGGTGTAGATAAAACGAATATCACCTGTTCAACCTCTTTTTTATTTGCCCATGAAAGTCGGTGGTCTTGATATTTATTAACTGAGGAACACTATCTGCCGACTTGATTTCGTTGCTGGGGACTCTGGTATAATGACGCGTAAGCTTCATAGATAAGGCTGGAAGAGACTCATGTTTTGGTCACAGGCTAATAACGTGCTCTAGCCGTTGGTATCCATACGTGGTCATGCCTACTTCACTATTCCCAACTAGTTATATTATGCACATGAAATTGTATTGCATATGGGACGGGATCCATCGTATATATATTTTCTTCATCTGAGATTTGCTGTTTCTTGATCAGTTACGGCCTCCGAGGCATATCATATGTGACACGCTACATAGTTCAATCACTGTGTGCTTTCTTATTCTGTTGCCCAACTGCACTTTTCCGACAAGTCAGACCAAGAAGTGTCTCGTATATCTAGGGCATGAATTTCCAAGTGAAAAAAACTGGTTCCAAGCGAGTGTTCAATAAAAGGTTATTGGGCTGATATTGACAAACGAACAGACTAAGTTCGACAACGAATAAGTCACTCACTTGCAAACGGAGTTTGAGAGATCTGAGTGGATCTCCCGTTCATTGTTTTCAGTGGAGTATGCATCACAGGCTGTCGCAAAGTTTGCTCGAACGGATATTCAAGAAGTACCTTTCTGTCCTGATGAGACTGCACACCCCCCACAGCTCTTAGTAAGGTAGCGAATCAGGAGCCCAGTGAACTATTACTTGGATCGGTACAAAGAAACGTAATTATACACTTGTCTCGATCAGATTTGGCTTGTTAGTCCAGAACGGTGTATTCAATCTGCCAGTCATTTATGGCCATTCTCGCTCAGTTGTTGGCTTTGTCTGACTTAATGTCCTTGTGGTTAGACAAATTTGAACGTTGAAGAATGTGCTCCGAAGGAAAGCTGATTGCAAGACAATTGGTAGGACAGCTTCACACCAATTCTCTTTATAAGCCGTCTTGTGTTTGAGGGAAAGACGTAAAATACTATTTCTATTTTCTTTAACGAGACACGAGCTGGCATTCGTCGATCGAATAGAAGCCAAAAATAACCGGATCGGTCGTACGTTTCCATCTAGTGTAATGGGCATAATTATATAGTTCGTTCCTTCGAATGTATGACACAGTAAGCAATAATTCGAAGGGAACTTCTGAATCTAACTACGACTGAGAAGCGGATCTCAGGGCATCTGTTCGCTTAGATTAGTAGGTAGGTAGCGTGGAACATCTAGATGAGAAGAGTATGTTCGTGCAGATCATTAGGTTTGATTAGCAGTGAGGTTATTAGAAAGCCGGAGCATCAGCTACGGTTGAATCGGAAGCCGAATTTCAGCAGTGAACGTAGGTGCTAGCTCCGAATACAATGGTTGTAGGGGCAAGCAGTGGAACCAGCAACAGTTTCCAAGCCGTCCGTTGCATGTGCAACCAAAAGACTGCAACTGAATTGCTTATTTATATGTGCATGATGGTAAAATATGGGATAGAGTTTAATCCAACATGATTCACGAAGCACTTGTGGCATAGCGAATAAAACGTTGGTAGACCGCGGTGAAGAAAAACCAGTAGCCGAACTTGGGCCTTGAACATATCTAAGGGCAATTGGGACACAGTGTGCTTACCGCTTCCGTCCGTGTGTGATGCAGGTTTTAACTCTATTGCAGGTGGAAACAAATAAAGAAGCAGGCTATACGTATATATTTTTTGTAATGTATTACCCATAAGGTTGCTGAAAGTCCGTCGACAGCCCACGACCAGTTTCGCCCTTTTTATGGCTCATCAGGTAGGCGCAGTCCCCGGGTTTCCGTCAACCTTATGTTCTACTTGAAACCAAATAGCACGGAATTAGCAACGGATTTTCAGCAACCTTAGGAGCAGTACATTACAAAAAACATGTGTATCGCGATATCTCGAATATCGTTGCGATTGAAACATGAGGCGGCCTGGTGCAACACATTCAAGTGCCTGAAAACATCACAAACGAGAGATTCAGCTGGGTTCCAGGAGAGTCTCTCGAAAAGCCAAATTAGTTTGCAAATGAGTGTATATTCGCCAAAGAAGCAGGCTTTTTCTTGAGAACTGTCACTGTGATTACCTGCTTGGTACTTGCTCAACTGACAAAAGTAAGTCGTCAATCCACATCTAGGTTTCTAAGCTCCACTCTTTTTTCTGTAGCAGCATGCCCTAGTTTCATTGCATTTGATCTGCTTAGCGCGGTGGTCCTCGATAAGCGGATCGAATCGCCCTAAGCTATTGGATAAAATACATCAGCCCTAATATTTTGGAATGTCCAGATGAAGAAAAAAATAACTGATAGTGCACGCACGTAGGTTTTCACGTGATTTCCCATTTTCTGAGGTTGGGCTATATCTGTTAGACCATCCTACGGACGACAGTGAACACTACCTGTTGTCGTCTCTGTTTATACTCAAGATTTGAAGCTTTTTTTCCGGTGCGTATAGCAAGTCCTATCGCAGCGGCCTGTCATTTCAGAAAATATTTTGTTCGGCGGTAGGGTGAGTGCGCAAAACGGCGAGCGCTATTCAGATCCATTGAGCTGCCATTTTCTATGAAAGTAGAGGTTTACTGTAAAGTACAACTGTGTTACGGTTTCTATGCAGCCAAAACCTCTCCTTTGACTTGTGTTTTTGACCAGACGGTGTCTGTTCTAACGCATGCGAATCGGAAAACGAAGGTGCACGCATTTGGCCTTGTTTCGGATAGATATACAAGCTGCTGTAGAAGGAGCAAAGCAGTTCAATCACCTTGTGACATTGTATGCAGTGCGAGTTACTCACGTGGTTGGCCGTCTGGATATCGGCTTCCTAGGTGCTGGGCTTATCGGTCAAGATCTATGCCGAATGGTTACCTCATCAAAAGAAAAATGCACAGAGCGGGATATTCAACGGTACCATCCGCTTGGTCGACGGAGGCGTGACAGCTGACGATTGACCCACCGGTATCAACCATTGCCCATGACGTCGCATGCGCGTCACTAATGGGCTGGATGGTAGCCGACCTGTGACCCCATATTCACCCGGCAGTTTCACTCGTAATCGTTTTTGGCAGAATAGTAATCTATCTACGCCGTCGTTGCATAAACTGGGTTAAAGACTGGATACTGAGACGTGAAATAAACATACGCCCATTTCAGGCATGATGTGCGAAGAAACGGTCGTCCGAGTAACGGTTCGTACTTGGTAGATGTTACGTATGCAGCAACATCATCTCAAAGCTTACAGGTGGGAATACTCACGACAGCTACTTTGTCCACAAGGTCTCTATTTCTGGCCTTTATTTCCAAATTCGTACTCACATTCCTTGAAAGGGAATACCCAGAATGTTCCATAGGTCGATGGGATGAATGAAGCGCGTAGGCTTAACGGACAGCATTAACCGTAAACTCAATGTCCAACTCCATGTCAATAGGTACGTCTGTGCTTGCAGCGCGGAAGTGCACGGGACGAACGTCTGGGTGCTTTAGTCTTGGTTATTAAACACTGCCCTACATGCGGGGTTACGGTGGATGGAGAAAATATCCTATACTGATCGAAGGCATTTGGCTTGCTGCTTTCCTTCAACATTTACAGCACGCTGAAAATTTGCAGGATATGATGGATAATCGCGCTGAAAGCAACATGAAGTTTGTGATTCCATGATCTTATCTGGGTTGCTTAATTTTGAGTGGCATGTTTGATGGGTCAAACTTAGTTTACTCTGTTATCGAACTTACACCGTGGCACATGGTTGCTACAGCATCGTTTGCTGGTGGGCTCACTGAAGTCCTCGGATAGCAGGCACTCACAACTACGGTAATCTGATATTTCAGTTACCAACCGCTACGCCTAGAATGTACTCTCAATTTTCTTATGAATAGTGTTGGTATAGTCGCAGGATTTTACACCTCCAATGGTTAGGTAGGCTTTTGCCGTAGCTAAGAAAACCTGGACTGAGCAGGCAAGAGGCGAAACACTTCAAGGGTGATCTAGTCGTCAAGCTTCATCACACCATGTAAATCCAGCTCATCCAGTAACTTTTAGCCATCTTCCAAGGCATGACGCAAGCACTTTTTGTGTACAATGGTTGTAGTTCAACCCTTCCACAATGAAAATTCACCGCAATTTGTTAACAGCACACGCTTTGTACGGATAGTAAACGATGTCGGCTTTATCAGTATAGATTCAGGCTTTTGAGCATTCCAGCCCAGTGTGTGTTAGCCAGTCCACTGATTGTAAGCTAGCTAGAGGCGCTTCATTTAGTGAAGTTTCTTGGAGTACACAATCTCGATTGTTTTAGCAATACCAAATTTCACTCCTTCTATACAGGTCAATCAAGCTTCCTTTTGGTGTGAGCTGACAGTTAATAAACCAACTACATGGCATCTCTTGATGTGAGTTACAGCACTGATGCTATACATGCTACGGTTCTCTCACATACACATCCGTTTAGTTGCGTTTCCTATGGGCAGCACACTAAGAGAGTTTTCAGCTGAAACACTCTTTCAGNAGAGAGTTTTCAGCTGAAACCCTCTTTCAGTGCCTAGCTGCACGGTCTCTTGGAAGATGCACGAGGGCTTAGGTACTCTCAGAGTGCGCACGCCTAGACACAAACGAACAACCGATGTGCCAGGGATGGATTAGAACCGCGAACTTTGCGACCAGTAATTTGGTTCCTTAACCACTGAGCTATCTGAAGCCAAGCACATTGCAGAAAAAACTTGATCTCGAATGAGATCATGGTGGTTGTGCTAAGTTCACCCAATTTTTCTGCTATCCAGTTGATCGAACGAGCAAGTGCTCAAACAAAATTCACGTTGCATTCTACACGTTCACTTAAACTAGACTGTATCAAAATTGTACAGAACTGCAACTCCGATTGACCATGCTTGCAACTGTAGGCCTATACTAAGCGAGGTTGGAGCGGGGTCAAACCGTTAAATCGTCCAGAGCCATGTGATCGCCGACCAGGTAATTATCATGGGACAAGTATAACATTTGGCCAATGACCTTCCATGCTCCCACGGAAGCGTGCACGTGATATTCATTCTCGTGGGTTGTTCCAGGTTTCAATGATTACACCCCGGCCATCATTCCAACCGGCAATGAAGCTCAGCTGCGCGTGTGTGAAAACAAGTCTGACAGACATGAAGTCCGTAGGTATGTTCACTTACGTGAAAAACACTTGGAACCGATTGGGTAGTCCTCGTTTTCGAAAAAGTTTGGTGGCAATCGGCAGATTTATTGCTGGGCAGTGTTTCGCTTTTGATACAAAATCGACACAGGAACCGTCTTAAGCTATTCATAAGCACACCCAAAGTCCGTGTACGCCAGTATTGTCTCATCGATGTTTCGTCGAGTGAGAGCACTGTGCACAGGAGAGATCAACCGAACGGCAGCTCAGATCGAGATGGCCAACAAACTTCAAGAAATAGGATACCCAGAGGATTTGATAAGGCGTCAACGAAGAAGGATAATGGCTCCAGTATCTAGACCCACTAAGGAATGGATTGGCACAGCAGTCATTCCATATAAAGCAGGAAAATCCGAGATTATTCGAAGACTGTTGAACTTAACCAACATTCGAGTAGCTTCTAAGAAGGGAAAAACGCTACGCTAAGTTTTGGTGCAATTGAAAGATCTCCTGCCGGTTGAAAGGACTACAGACTGTGTATATAAAATTACTGGCAACGATTGCGCTAAGGTTTATATAGGACAAACTGCCGGAATTGGTGAGCATAAAAGAAGGATTAACAAACCACCAAGCAATGCAGAAGAATACCAAACGCTGGTCAAAGACTGAGCGATGGCGGTACATGCCTTAGACACGGGACATAGAACAGATCTGGAGAATATGGAAGTTTTAAGGTGGGGACTGCGATTCGCACCACAGCGGTTGATAGCCGAGGCGGTGTACATTACTAAGCATCACAGCGTGAATAGAATCGAGGGTGTTGAGCTAGTGAGCGTATGGAAAGCGGTCTTAGATAAGCCGAGTTGACACGTGACGGTGTGTTTGTCAATCCACTTAGGATCATTAGAAAAAACCGGGGGTGGGGGGTGGAAAACCCAACCGACCAAAGGTCACAGCATCCCTCCTACATAACTATCTTAGCACTAACTCACCCACACAGACGACAGAAGTTTCAAGAGTAACCATCAAATGAACCGAACCAGAAGAACTAGATCCTAGGCTGGACCAAAACACATATAGGTTTCCCCACCGACCCAACACTTGTTCAACCACTCTAACACACAAAAATCCCTCCCATTTCGATACATCGCACAGTCTTATGAGAGTGCTGTGGCAGTTTTCCCCAATATTTAGGCTCATTCCCACAGACGTACGAGACGGGGCGATCCTCTACCCCATCGTTGCAATGGTTGATGTTCTTTGATTATTCATGCCGTAATTGGGATACAGGTTCCTTCACACCTCAGTGGATGGTTTTCCTGAAGACTACGTCGTATGTTTAGAAAGTGTGTTTGATTTAAAGGGAGAAGAGCTGGTACGTGAACCAGCGTCTTAAATAGTAAGGCAGTGGTGGTTTGTTGGGACCAGAAACATCGCGCGAAGGCAGTCTCAGTCAGACCTTTTTGCTTCGGCGAGGAACCCATTACTCCTCTGGGTCCGACAGACACCGTGACGTGTTTGGACATCCCGCTTACCTTCAAGGCCTGCAACCACCGACAGCAGCTGCTCACACTCTTTGATGAGGTGATGAGTGATGAAGCCGCATCAAAGAATGGAGACCACAAGGAACTATCTGATACCGAGGCTGACATACTTGCTAGTGCTCGGCCTACCGAAGCACGCTCAAAATGTTGGACAGTTACATTAGGACTTCGTTCATGGATGGCTACATCCACCGAAAAACATCCCGATCAGCTAAAGTAACGCCGGAAAACAACATGGAGGAATAGGCTTCGGAAGTCTGAGTGCAACCATCCCGATCCAGTGGACAGCGCATACAGAGAAGCTTCTGTCTACTCAGTGGTCAGTGATTTCGCATTTGACAAGGTTGCTCAAGGTCCCAACCTTCCGATCAGAGTCTAAGATTCTTGCGTAATTATCAAGGAAGGACTTGTGGCTGCTTGGGTCGATTGTCTGCACAACAGCATTGACTGTTCCGGTTTACGGAGGCTGGTCGTTTCGCCTCTATGGAATCGATGGTTTGTATTTACGGAAAGCGTGTTTCTTCTGGTATTTATACGCGGTATCCAGCTCTGGTGCAACCTGATTAGGATGAGAGTTAGAAGCGTCTGGCGTTGTCATGGTCTGTCGTGGTAGCTGGCCAACCGGAGAGTTTGGTACGTATTCCGCAGTCCTGCTGGACCACGCGTGATGGTAAACGTGCTCGTCATGACTGAGTTGCAACGAAACCAGCAAAAAATCTCCGTCACCTGGGATACACCCTCTTCGAGGAGTTGAGAGCACCTCCGTCGACGTCTTTCATCCAGCCTGACCTAATCGCTGTTCGGCAACGCCCAGCAACTGTTGTAGATGTAAGCATAGTCTCGAATGGGTGCGGAGTGACTGTGTGGAATAAGAAGCAGAAGTGTGGTGATGATGAATGTTCCCTCGCTATCATCTCAGCCCCACGTGCAATCGATTGTGATGTTATATTTTTGGTCCATAAACCGATGATAATTTCCTGTCGAGGAATCTGCTATCCTCAACCCACCAAGGCTCTTATTGGACTGGGACTTTCAAAGGTCACAGTCAATCACTAATGTTTGCCCGCCATTATGGGCTGTCTGCTTACTTACGACACTTTTATACATGGTGCATGGCTTGAGTGTTCATTCTTACCACTGACTTTCGCACCCGACCCAGTATGACGGACACTTTGTGCCTGATGCGCCAGTCTTGACTGTGCCAGTGCTTGCTGCGCCTTGGAGAGCAATTAGTATTGTTTGCCCTTTCTTCAGTTTCTGAGCTCTATATGCATGTTTCCATACCAAACATTCTTACATACGTTGAGCATCATTTTGTCTGACTGGAACTTTTGGTGTCACACCTTCATATGGCATGGTTCTTTCGTTTTATCCATTATTCCGCTATGCACATTTCCACATCTGTCGCCTGGATTTACTTTTTGTGTTTGTGATCGTGTTCTTCAAAAGCTAAACGATACAATAAAACTGAGAATAGGAGAGATGAAGAACCCTATTACACGCTCCCTATTCTTTTTACAGAAGGCCCTAATATAGACAAATTGCAGTGAAGGAAACTTCTCATAAGGTTGCTGACAAGTCTTCGACAGCCCTTGAACGGCTTCGCCCTTCTTTAGGATCATCAGGTGGGTGCAGTTCCCGAGTTTTCGTCAACCTTATGTTCAACTTGAACCCAAATTGGAGAATATAATAAACGAGAGATTCAGTTTAGTCTCGTGAAAACCAAATTGATTTGCCAGTGAGTGTATTTTTAGAAATAAATTTTAGCAAATCAGTTAGGAAATCGAGTGATACAGTTCTTACTGATAACCTTGCAATCAAGAAAGCCGTTACTGAGAAAACACCTGGAAAATGATCGTTGGCCAGCGGTGCTACGCACCACTACGCCCCCGATAACGCACTGATGGTGTCACCTCGTTTGGTGATGAAGCGTTTGCAATCAAATTGCCCAGCTCAGCGAACAAGCCAGTGACCATCTACGCTACCTGAGCTTCCAACATTTTCCTCTATAGAACACCCGAGAAATCTCCGATCTCCTCCATCATGTGCAATGGGTAAATATCACAGCCATAGATATCCACGAGTTCTCCTACAAGCATTGAATATGGAGGTTCAATGGCTTGAAAATACAAGGGTCTGATTGCTGTTTGTCAACCCACTGTGGTGTCTACTGCTTGGTGTTCTTACAAGTTTGAAGTGAACACAGTCTCAACAGGGACAGAATCCACCTCTCTTATAAAATTGACTTGAAATTATGAATGGTCTCTATCAGAGATTTTTTTGAGGATGTGCTTTACACCGTGTTAAATACCGCCTTTGGTCACACCGAAAATAGATGAGTGGCTTCGAATTGTTAGTTGCCGATATTACTGCCACAAAACCAACCCCTCGATTCTGGGCGTGGTATAATCACGAGAGGATTTGCAAAATCTGCGTGATTTGTCTTGATCGATTATTGAGTGCTGTCTAGTTGAATTCATCGACATTCTATTGGTTCAGCGCCTTTGCAAGTACACAACAAATAACGGAATGATGATATGCGGGCACAACCAATGAGTTGTGTGTACATTCAAGTCTGTGTATCGCCTCTCACATGATATTCACCTGGTCGCATTGTTAAATTTATCTGTGGCAGTCCAGTTTAGTGTCCAAATTGAGTTCCGGAATCCGGTAAGACGTTTGAGTTTTCTGTTTACTCATTACGCTACTCCTACGATTGGTATTGGCTAATAGATACTGTGCTCACTTCAAGCGCACTGACTGGCATGTTCACATTGGTTTTCAAGTATCGATTGGTTCTATGCAATGGGTAGTAGTCAAGAGTGTCTTTTGTTTCGATTCACGGTGTACACATCATTATCCACTTTACACTACATAGGCGTCGTATTTTTTGTCACATATTCGTTAGTTTGTGTTACATTGTATTCCTCAATCTCACAGCATTATCGGGAATAATGATCCACTTGATTTTCACAAAAGCAAGTTTATCAGGAAGGTATACCTCACGAAGCTGTTAGATAGTATATAGACAGGGCTTGAAGGACATGCAGGCAGTGGGCTTATGGGACACGTCAGAGTACAGGAGTACAGCATGTGGCTCGTCACATCAACCTCTCCCACGCACCAAGAGCTCTACAAATGCTATATTTCGGTCAACTTATGCCATTCTTATCATACCGGATGGGTTCTTGTATCGGTTTAGAGGAAATCAGTGTGTCCAAATCAGATTACCGACACAATCATGGAAAGAGAGGTAGTACAGGCAGGATAGTTAGAGGACAGCCATGCTAGCGCGATGCGAAAAAGGAGCACTTTTGTTTAGCGAAACGCACTCATTTGCAAACAAATTTGGTTTTGCGAGAGACTCACCTGGAACCCAGCCGAATCTCTCGTTTTTAATATTTCCAGGCAACTGAATGTGCTGCGCCAGGCCTGGAAACACCACAAATGAGAGATACAGCTGGGTTCCAGGTGAGTCTTTCGCAAAATCAAATTTGTTTGCAAGTGAGTGTATTTCGCTAATTTCGTGTAATTTGGTTCCAACTAGAACATAAGATTGACGGAAACTCGGGAACTGCGCCTACCGGATGAGCCACAACAGGGAAGAAAGCGGTCGTGGGCTTTTGAAGAATTTTCAGCAACCTTACTAGGAGCGTATTACATCTAAACATTTCTGTTCATCAGACGAATCAGTATGTTACAAAGGAGAGTGTTGTATCTCGAGTCAGACACGGCACCAAATCTGCAAGTATACTTCACTCTGTGGTATGTCAGTTTTTTCCAACACAATGATAGGGTGGGGTATTTTGACTGGAATCTTATTGTGCACCACCGCGTTTCATAAGTAGAACCGACGCATGAGTTATGCAATTCATTCAGATAGTTCGACTGAACGACAAACCATAAACAGACTCCGTTCGGTGAGGATTATGTGTGCTTGTGCATTATACACACGCTTCCTGTAGTGTCAGTATTATGCATCCCGTATACTAATCACATACTGCGCTATGTTTGCTACACTATATGACCGAAATCAGTCAAAACTAAAAGGATGAGGTGTTTCCAACTCTTGGTAGATTCTCAATGATGGCTTCATTATTGAATGAGTTATGCAAGCTTGTGGTTTCCAATATACTCAGAATAGCCACTTAAACTACAGTGCACTGGATCGCAGTATTCCAGTATTCCGCCAGTATTCACCAGTATTCCGCCATCTCTCCGTCCTACGCAATAAATAGAGACATCTCTTTAACACTTTTGAAGTTTTCCCATAACGTACCTCGAGTAGAAACATGGAAACAATACTGGTTTTTGATTCCACAACAGTCGTAAAAAACGGAGTCACACTAGAAGAATTTGGTAGAACAAGTATGACCGCAAGCTGCTTCACCGTATGTGGATACTTAGCATCAAATCACAACAGATACAGGGGAATTGTTCTTTGTGGACGTATTCTTTGCATGCTCGGATAAATCCTGTGAAACATCGCTTTGCTACTATTCTTCATTAACTCTAGGTACTGCACCGTCAAAGGTAGACACTTTGGAAGAAATGACTGCGAAGGACTTAGCCCACTTTTGCTTACACATAGGAGAATCATGAAATGAAGATATCTGAGCAGAATTTCGCAGCTGGTTTGTAAAGCTAGCCGCATCACACCTTAGACAGGGCAAGCCAACAACTATCCGGAGTAATATACTTGGCAAGAGACTTCTAAACCCCTCAAATTTAGGCTTCATGAAGAAAAGTCTTGCGAGTCACTAATAAACTGTCCATTGTGGCGAATGACCGCATCTAAATCTAGCATGGGGAATTCCCTTATTTTGAGTGAGCTATAAAATGATTTACTGAAGAGAAGTAGCTCCCCCAACTCTGAAGTGATAGATCCGGAACAAACGCGCTGTACTGTAGGACGCTGTGCACGTATCCTGCATGTAGTCATGGTAGTTTCGTCACTCTATGTTTGACAGGATAGGTAGCCATCTGGCATGCACGCGCCTATGTTGTTTACATGATGTGCCATTTCAATGAAGATCTTCTGTGACCCCTCTACACCGGACAACATGTCATTTGCAGTATGCGCAACAAATGCTTGACGTATCACTTTGTCCCAAGGTGCCGTGCCCTTTTTCACTGTGACGTCCGTTTCATGTATTGGCTGGATAGCAACCAGAAATGACGCTAATCAGAATCCAACCAATAATATTGTCAGGTATAAAATACCCAGTCCTCGAGACAAGACTTGAAACGAGCCAATGAGCATTGAATGCATTAACTTCATACGTATTGATGACTACGCACTTTCGGTGAACCAATACTTAGCAAAGACAACGCGGAACCATGCGGCCATAGAAGTGCAACACTTTGAGAAGGTGAGCCAGGCAAACTCAAGTGACTCAGTTGAATAACTGCACTATTTAATAAGTCTACAAATTCGAGCCCAACTTGCAAGGTTCTGATTTTAACGCTCTGCAAAGCAAATGAATCAGTTGTGTCTTAAGTGGCATTTTAAAAGCACGAACCTGAATGGAAATGACTAACTAAAAGTGTGACGCGAAATCACACACACCTGGCATGGGACAACTCATTTGAGCGCACGATGAACGTGTTCCTGAATCCTTTAAAGTGCACAATTTGATAGTTCAAATTGTTGAGCTTGACATAACCAAAATAAACCTGCTTTGAGCTAATCACATAGTGCGGAAGACACTTACAAACTCAAATTGCTGTTGGAACATGCACGCCACTTGCATGTGCCTATCAGTGGTGCATTGCTTATGTGCATTTTTTAATGAATGGTACATTGGAGTTTATCTCTCGCGCCTAGTTCTATCACTATCCTTGAATGAGTTCGTAGTAAGATGGAACAAATTTCCGAGAAACGCAGGGATTCTTCCAAGAATACCTTCTGTCTTGGCAATGGCTAATTTCACCTTCTGAAATCCATCTGTCACAGTTCCTAGCCTGCTGGTTCATTCGAGTGAAGTCTCGTGCTGTTAACTTTTTGCAACGGAAGTTTACACCAATTATCTCATATAGAATCGGCTTGACTGGATATGGATTCGTCTGTTTAGTTTTGGTTTAAAGGCATACATCTCTGTCCCTCAGTTTTTTTATGGCCGGTATGTACGTGAAGGAGCGAAAACCTGTCCCTCAGCATAGTCTATTCCCGAGGTTGCGTTTAAGATTTGGCTATCTGATTCGTCAAATCCACTTCTGTCAACTTTTGTCCAATTGATCGTGAAATACGCCTCACGCAAGGGTAGACTGAAGGATGTAACAAGTGAGTTCATCTGTCGTAACCATCAGGATGAAGTCTAAACACCCAACTGTTGACAATGTGTGTTCCCAGTTAGTTGGTTCTGAATGCAGCTCCGAGCGGACGGGTGTGATGTCAACACTCAAGTTACTTTACATCAAGTAACTTCACGTCTGGCTGGAGTTGGTCGTGAATAACTTGGTATGGGTAACGTGTGAAATGAAAAGACGGGGAAATTCGATCCAGGCGTGGACTTTTCTCAGTCTTTACGTAGCCACGTTCCTAAACAACGAGTACGAATGGATACCAACATTTGTGAACATCTTTGACAACAATCTCTGGTAAGCAGAGACAGCCATCTCGTTCAATGGACCCAGCTTATAAGCAGTGAAATCCCTGCTATATCCTTATCTTATAAAGTAAATGTCTCGGATGCAATGGCCGATGCCAGGTCAAATAGGCTGGGCTATTAGTAAATAAACCCTGACACCGGGTCACTACACCACAAGTGAAAGAACCGTAGACATTGTTAGTGATAGTAAGTCATTTTTCGGCCAAGTTTAATGGAAATTAGAAGTAATCAAACTATTGTTATGTTGTGTAGGTGAATTCACTGTCTGGTTGTTACAGACAGGTCACAGAGTGTGGTTATAACTCTTCATCAAAGAAACACTCAACGAAAAGGAATTTACAACTCTGCTCCCCCCCCAACATTTCACCAAATCTTGAGATCTTCCACCTTAAAGGAATGCGAACACTCATAAAGTATGGCCTTGGCTGGGTGCGCTTGGACAGCTTGGTCTAGTGAGTTTGACTGTCGACTGTGTGGCATTGATTCTGTTTCATACGCTTCACATACATTCTACCGTCGATTGGTTATTCTCGTCTACATACTCCAACTTGTGATCATCAACCCAGCCTACAGGTCGTCAAGTGATTCACCCTCATATGTTAAACAAAGTGTAAACCCGTTATCAGGCTACTGTGAGCACGGTAAGATAGTTCACATCTACAGGATACGGCGTTCGAAGTGATGACTGTATCGATCCATGAATAAAGTTTTCCGCCTGTCATATATGTTTGTTCCCGGTCGTGGTATGATTGATTGGTATGATTGATTGGTATGTTATCAGATTTCACTCGATGGATTTTCGCTGTTCATTTATTGAGTGAAAAATAATAATTCAATTTGGATATGGGTAATCAGTAATGCCATGACAGCCTTTAAAATTGTATGGGACAGAACGTGACATTTGTGCAAGCTAAATCTCGAAATCGTTCTTTATTTGCTCCAATGCTCTGATCTTGTTTGTATCTCCAACTTTTGATCGTCCGACTTGATTGAAACTTGGTATACTTAGCAGTTCGATTAATCATAATTTGTTCGATTTGTGACTAATGCCAACCTGAG